AGACGGCGCCGGGGGGGGCGAGGAGGGGGGGGGGCGCTCAGCCTGCGGGAATCCACCTGAAAACGTAACAAAACCGGGGCAAAAACAAAGCAGGAAAGAGGGAGGAGGAAGGGGAGGCGGTGCTGCCCGGCCCGCCGTCCTCACCGGCGGTGGCAGCGGGACCGGGAGCCCCGGGGATGGGCGGGAGGTCCCTCCCCTGCCCGGGGCTGCCGCTGACCTTCGTGCCCGGGCTCCGGGCACCGCCGCCTGTTTGCAGTGGGCAAAACAGTTGTGCAAAAAGCCAGGCGGTCAAGGACGGGCTGTTGGGAGCAGCTGCGGCCGCTTTCGCTGCCTCCAGCGCTCGGAAAAACTGCCCCGACCGCGATCACATGGAGCAGAAAGGGGCTGGTTGCTAATGACGTGAATGGTGAGGTTAATTCGGGGTCTGAGGTGGCAGCGAAGGGCTCGAGGTCGTGGGCACGTCGAATGCAGAGAGGCCGATGAGGCCGGGCAGGGCTGAGCCAACATCCGGATGGTGGGACGGGGGTGACGCAGCTGCTGGCACCTCGCTGGGGTCAGAGATCTCACAGCCCGGCGTTTCTGCCTCGGGACAACGGAGAAAATCGAGCTCCAGCCGTCACTGGAACACCTCCGCTGCCAGGGGGAACAGGGTGCTGCAGAGCAGGCCCTCAGAGCCCCCTTTCCCCTGCTGTCCTGCCCCAGGCGGGGGTGGCCCGGCCTCCCCCCGACTCTGGCTGGCAGTGCGGGGACCGCCAGGCTTCCAGGCCGGGGCTGACGGCATCCCCGGATCCAGGCTGCAGCCCTCAGGGAGACAAAACCCTCTGCCGGGAAGGGCATTGGCAGCGGGTGAGCACAGAAATCCTTTGTGCCACTGCAGCGTGGGGCGGGGGGGGGGCTTTGCAGCACCCATCTGTGGGTCTGCTGTCCTGTGCTTCGGGGGTGCAGGGACCAGGCCCCGGATGCAGTCCCAGTGATGCTGCTCTGCAGAGTGACATCCCTGCCCCCGCCCCGGCTGTGGCTCCTGGAGCAGGCAGGGCCAGGCACTGGCCACCCACCCCCTCCCCACGCCAGGGACACCTTTGCGGTTGGGTTTCCTTATGCTTCTCTTTGCCAGCAGCCCCAAACCTGTCCCCTGAAGCTGAGGGTGGCCCACAGTCGTCACAAGGATGTTGACTGCACGCACCCTCTGGGACACGGCGTCCCCTGGACTTTGCCGTGTCTCTGAAGAAACACTGCTGACGGTCAAGGACACCCTGGACAGAAGGCAGGCTTGGGAGTTTAGCAAAGACAGTGGCATAATAGCGGTGTGTCGCCTGTCACCTGCTTGCCCCTGGGGTCCTAGCTGTGGCACCTAGAAACTGGTGCCACCAAAGAAATTTTGGGTTTTTTGACCTCAAGGAAATCCACATGGCACCAGATACGATTGGTTGACTGTCGGCTGAACAGGAGCCAGCAGTGTGCCCAGGTGGCCAAGAAGGCCAACAGCATCCTGGCCTGTGTCAGGAACAGCATGGGGAGTAGGACTTGGGAGGTGATCGTCCCCCTGTACTGGGCACTGGTGAGGCCCCACCTCGAGTACTGTGTCCAGTTTTGGGCCCCCCCCCACAAGAGGGACATTGAGGTGCTGGAGCGGGTCCAGAGAAGGGCAACAAAGCTGGTGAGGGGTCTGGAGCACAAGTCTTGTGAGGAGAGGCTGAGGGAGCTGGGGGTGTTCAGTCTCGGGAAGAGGAGACTGAGGGGAGACCTTCTCGCTCTGTACAAGTACCTGAAAGGAGGGTGTAGGGGTCGGTCTCTTCTCCCAAGGAACAGGCCATGGGACAAGAGGAAATGGCCTCAGGTTGCCCCAGGGGAAGTTCAGGTTGGATATTAGGAACCATTTCTTTACTGAAAGGGTTGTCAGGCATTGGAATGGACTGCCCAGGGAGGTGGTGGAGTCACCATCCCTGGAGGTATTTAAGAAACGTGTTGTGGTGGGTTTTTTTTTGGTTTTGGTTTTTTTTTTTTTGTGGTTGGACTCGATGATCTCTGAGGTCCCTTCCAACCACTACGATTCTGTGATTCTGTGGCCATGTTGGCACATGGGGGATAGCAGGCAGCTGGGGCTGAGGATGAGGAGGGGCAACAGAAGGGCAGGGCAAGCCCTGTTCTTGGGCAGAAGGGCATCTCCCCACCACAGCGTGGGCAGCCTGCGGTGATGGGGGCATCACTGGGATGGACCACTGTCCTCCCGGCAGGGCTGGCCCCGCTGCTTGCGGCCCGGCGAGGCGGCTGCTCCTTGAGCTGTGCTGCGAAGCACCGGCATTTCCATGGAAACCTGGCCCCGTGGCCTGATGTGGGTTTTTCATCTTGGTTCCTCTCACAGCCGGTAATTGAACGGGGGCGGCTGGTGGTGGCGAGGGAGGGTCCTGGGCCGGGGTTGCTGGGGCTGCCCGGCGGGTGGGAGCGGAGGGGCCGGTGGTTGGGGCAGCACGGGATGGGGCTGTGGGCTCCGGGTGGGGAGCCATCCCCCTGCCCGCAGTCCTGAGCCCGCGGCGAGCAGCTCTGCCGGTCGGCGTGGAAAAGCCCAAGGCAAGGCAGCCCTGTGCCCTGGGTGGGCATCCCAGGGGAGTCCCATCGCGGCTCAGCTCTGCCGCTGCCCGTCCCAGGTGCTCCACAGCATCCCTGCCCACGGGGCACGGCGCAGCAGGGCAGGCTGCCTGCCTCTGGTGCTTTCCTCACCCTCTCCATCTGCCTCATGGTGAGGAGCCCGCTGCCACCCCCGGCTGCTGCCCTAGCCCATGCCCATGCTGCCTGCCCTGTGCTGCAGCTCCATGACATGGGGCAAGGGCTGGCAGGGGCTGCAGGACCCCCATCTTGGGCAGCACCAGGGGCCGTGGTGGTCGGGTGCAGGGGCTGGAGCACTGTGCCAAGCAGGGGGATGTGTACCAGCGGCCAGGGGTCCTGGGCAGAGCCCTCCATGCAGCCCCCTGCACAGCCCCCCGCCTGCCCCCCTGGCTCGGGGCCTCGGCCCTGGCTCTGCTGCCTGCACCATGCCTGGAGGCGATTCAGGACCCATGCCTGGTTTCCATGGCAACTCCAGTTGAAATTACATTAAAAAGAAATGAAACCAGCAGCTTTTCTGGTTGGCAAGCAGGGGGAGGGGAG